GGAGAGGAGAGAGAGAGAGAGAGAGAGAGAGAGAGAGAGAGAGAGAGAGAGAGAGAGAGAGAGAGAGAGAGAGGAGGAGGAAGAGGAGGAGGGGAAGAGGAGGAGGGGGGAAAGAGGAGGAGATGCAAATCTGACCAGCAAGATTTTGGCAGGTGACAGCAGACACGCTGGGTCACATGGTGACGACCGGCCCTGAGGGCGACGGCGAGCAGCAGATCGAAGAGTTTTGGAGGCTGAGCTGCACCTTGCAGGGTCATGAGGGAGATGGTGAGGAGGAGGAGGTGGAGAAGGTGGAGGTAGTGGTGGAGGAGCAGGAGCAGAAGCAGGAGCTGGTGCAGGATGGGGAGAAGGAGGGGTAGGAGGAGTCATAAGATGGAAGGGAAGGAGGCAGTGGGAATGAGGATTGAGAAAGTTTGGAAAATTGAGCGGGTAGAGGAAGCAGAGGCAGATAGAGAGAGGGAGAGAGAGGACGTGGGAGGATGAAAGCATTCTAATGATGGTGTATACGACAGTCAGGGGGATATCTGTTGTCGGGGACGGGAAACTTGTCACCGCTTCTCGCGACAAGTCTCTGAAGCTCTGGGTGGAGTCGAAGGAGGAGGGAGGAGAAGACGGCAAAGCTGCTTCTTACACGTACAAGGACTCGAAGCAGCTCACGGGGTACAGGCTCCCTCTCTGTGCATCTTCACTCAGTCTTTTCTTCCCTCCACTGCCTTCCCTTGCAGTTCCCCTGCCATTGCTCCTTCGCTTTCATTTCCTCAGCGCTCTTCTCTATCTTTGTTGCGCTTTTCGTTGATTTCCTTGCGCTATCCTTCAGGCATGAGTACCATGTTGCTTCTTGCTCGTACCTGGGCCCTTCGGATGAGAACCCCAATGGTATGACGAGTCTGCTATGAGAGGATGGTCACGTCGTCCAACATTTTCCATCATCGTCCTCCTCTGCTCTGCCCTGCTCTCCCCTCACTTCCCACTTCTTCTCTCGCAATCGGCAGCACGCCCCCGAGATCGCCATGACTTTCACGTGTTTGCGCTCTCGATGACACCTGTTGCAGGCCTCATTCTCTCCGGTTCATACGACTACACGAGCTCGGGCCAGGTCAAGGTCCCAGCAGGTGTCCAGTTAGAGGTATGGGGGAAGGAAAGTTGAAGGACGTTTGCAGTTGTCAACATGTGGGACGCGGAGACAGGAGATCTCAGACATTCGCTGACGGGACACACAGCAACAGTGAGGTGAAAAGAGCAGGAGTCTGCGAGGCGTGGGGATGGGGGAGAGGAAGACAGGGAGGAGGAGGGAGGAGGAATGGGGAAGGCGATGAGATGGAGACGGTGAGATTGGGAATGAAAGAGGAGGAGGAAGGGGAAAGGAAAGAGAAGGAGGAAGGGGAAGGGGAGGGGAGGAGGAAGGGGAAGGGGAAGGGGAAGGGGGAAGTGCAAGGGTGAAGAGCACCAGGAGGAGAAATGACGGATCCTGACATTCAGTTCTATCGCCTGCTCAACTGATGGCAAGGAGATTTTTTCTGCCTCCTGGGACAAGGTGAAGAAATTCCCTGCTGCCTTGCCGGGCCTGACCGCGTGCTCGAAGACTGTCAGAGTCTGGGACTCCAAGACAAAAGAATGCAAGCACGTACTTAAAGGACATTCTCAGGTCATTCGCGATGAGAACGATTTCTTGCGGTCGACCTTGATGCTTTCCGCTCTCTGCTTTCCCTTTCCCTTTCTATTTCGTTTCCTCCCTTTCCCTTTCTCCTTTTGTTGCTTTTCCCGTTTCCTTTCTCTCTCTCTTTCTTCCCTCTGTTGGTCCATGTGTAACTAAGTCCCTGAATTTGATGTTGTTCTTTTGTTCTTGACGTTTTTCTTTCTCAGGCTGTCTGGGCGCTTCTGCCTCTCCCAGGCAACAAGCTGCTGTCAGGATCAGCCGACAGGACCATCAGACTGTGGGACACGGTTGAAGGAAAGTGCATCGGGACCTTGACAGGTCAGAGGAGGAGGGGAGGAGGAGAGGAAGAGAGGAGAGGAGGATGAGAGTAGGAGAGTAGGAGAGTAGGAGGAGAGAGGAGGAGAGGAGAGGAGGGGAGGGGAGGGGAGAGGAGAGGAGAGGAGAGGAGAGGAGTGGAGAGAAGGTGAGTAGAGTAGAGGACAGGAGAAGAGGAGATGAGATGAGATGAGGATAAGAGAGGAGAGGAGTGGGGCATCTTATGTTTTTCGTTTTCAGGTCACAGTGATTGTGTTCGTGCACTCGTCATGCTCCCTGATGGCAAAGTTGCTTCTGCTGGTAAACTCCCTTCCCTCATCCCTACGGACCTGTTCCAGCTCCAGCTCCTCCAGCTCCTCCAGCTCCTCCTGCTCCTCCTGCTCCTCCTGCTCCTCCTGCTCCTGCTCCTGCTCCTGCTCCTGCTCCTGCTCCTGCTCCTGCTCCTGCTCCTGCTCCTGCTCCTGCTCCTGCTCCTGCTCCTCCTCCTGCTCCTGCTCCTGCTCCTCCTGCTCCTGCTCCTCCTGCTGGTGCTGGTGCTGCTCCTGTTCCTTTTCCCTCGCTTCTGCAGTTTCCCCTCCGGACTCTCCTTGATCTTCCCTCAGGAAATGACTGCATGATCAAGATCTGGTCGCTCGACCTCTCCGGCAATTCTCTCGAGCAGGTGGAGCAGGAGGGGAATGGAGGAAAAGAGAAGAGAAGCTTGAAGGAGGAAAGGTGGAGGGAAATGAGATTGAGGAGGACGAGTCATGCATCAACGGGAGGAGGGCGAAGAGAGAGGAGGAGGGGGAGTTGGAGGAGGAGCGAGAGAGAGAGGGAGAGGGGAAGAGGAAGAGGGGGAGGGGGAAGGAGAGGGGGAGGGATAGTGGGAGAGATTCGTGAACAAGGAGGTGGCTGAGTCGTTGCAGACTTGCGGGTTCTGTCTTGGTACCTTTGCGGGACACGAGAACTTCATTTATGACCTCGCGGTCCTGCCCAATGGCGACCTGGTGTCAGGTAGGAGGAGGATGAGGAGGATGAGGAGGATGAGGAGGATGAGGATGAGGAGGAGGAGCAAGAGGAGGAGGAGGAGCAGGAGGATGAGCAGGAGAGGGAGGAGGATGAGCAGGGATGGCAAGGCCAGGAGAGATAGAGGAGGAGAGCTAGTGGAGAGGGCGGGAGAGGGGAAGGGGAATGGAAGGAGGAGGAGATTTTGATGAGATCTTGTAGCCGGAGAGGACAGGACGATCAGAGTGTGGAGGGACGGCCGGCAGGTATGCGCCATTCGCAACCCCGACACCGTGTGGAGTATCGCGGCGATAAGCAACGGTAAGGGGATGGAGGAGGGTTCTGAAGTGTTGTCGAGTTTGTTGTTTCTCTTGCTGTCTCCTACTGTGATGATTTCACCTCCTCTTCCTGCTCAAGGGTTATCGATTCTTCCTGCTCCTCGCTTCCTGCTCCTTCTCTTCTCCTCCTCCTATACGCCATTCCTCCCCTCTGCCTCTCCTCCTCTCCTCTCCTCCTCTCTTTCTCATGCTTGTCATACTAGCTTCACTTCCTTCATCTATTACCTTCTACTCATTTTCGCTTTCTTCTTGACTTCTCTCGTCTCAGGTGACATCGCTGCTGCTTGTGCTGATGGCAAAGCGCGAATCTTCACTCAAGCAGACGAGAGGATGGTGATGAATTCCTGCTCTCCCTGCTCTCTCTGCTCTCCCTGCTCTCCCTGCTCTCCCTGCTCTCCCTGCTCTCCCTGCTCTCCCTGCTCTCCCTGCTCCCTGCTCCGTGCTCCGTGCTCCCTGCTCCCTGCTCCCTGCTCCCTGCTCCCTGCTCCCTGCTCATGGTTTCTTCCCTCTTCGCTCCTCCTCTCTATTGCAGCGAGCTGATGGCCTAGTGCAGGCAAGTGAGGAGCAGCAGAACGAGTACGAGGAGCTGCTGGCCAAGACCAAGATTGCCTCGCACACCCTCGGTGAATTCATCACGTTCTGCGTGCTCGTGCTCGTGCTCGCTCTCATCCTCATCCTCATCCTCGTCCTCGTCCTTCTCCTCCTCCCTCCTCGCTGACTCGTCGAGACTAGGTGGACTTCAGTTGGAAAAGCTTCCAGGACCAGAGGCACTTGAGAGAGCTGGCGACCATGACGGACAGGTGGAGTTGGAGGGAGAGGAGGAAGGGGGGAGGAGGACGTGGAAGTGAGCTGAAGAGGGCAGGAGAGGAGGAGGAGGAGGAGGAGGAGGAGGAGGAGGAGGCTGGACTTCAAGTATCATCACGTTGTGCTAAATCATCTTGTCTGTCACAGACTCGAGTGATCCGTCAAGGAAGCAAGGCCATCGCCTACTCGTGGAGCGTATCCTCTAAGAAGGTGTTGAATGCTTTCCCTTCTTCTCCTTCTGGTGCTTGTGCTTGTGCTTGTGCTTGTGCTGGTGCTGGTGCTGGTGCTGGTGCTGGTGCTGGTGCTGGTGCTGGTGCTGGTGCTGGTGATGGTGCTGGTGCTGGTGCTGGTGCTGGTGCTGGTGCTGGTGCTGGTGCTGGTGCTGGTGCTGGTGCTGGTGCTGGTGCTGGTGCTGGTGCTGGTGCTGGTGCTTGTGCTTGTGCTGGTGCTGGCGCTGGTGCTTGTGCTGGTGCTGGTGCTTGTGCTGGTGCTGGTGCCTTGACTTCCGCTGTTTCCTCTTGCTGCCGCACTCTTACTTACTCTGCTTGCAGTGGGAACCTGTTGGAGAAGTTGTTGACAGTGCGGGAGACAACAACAAGATTGGAGCAGGTAACAGAAAGATTCCCCTCTTCCTCCTCCTGCTCCTCCTGCTCCTCCTGCTCCTCTTCCTCCTCCTCCTCGTCACCATCACCACCATCACCATCACCACCATCACCATCACCATCACCATCACCATCACCCCCACTCTTATCATCTTGATTATCTCTGAACTTTTGTTTTGATTTGGTTCTCTTGTTGTCATTTTCTACGTGTCTCATCTCAAATGCCTCTGGTGTTCTTGTCTCATCTCAAACTTGTCTCAGGTCAAGCTGGAGGAAAGCAAAAGTTGGACGGGAAGGAGTATGACTACATCTTCGATATCGAGGTAGAGGAGAATACAGGAGGAAGAGATAGAAAGAGCGATGATGATGATGATGATGATGATGATGATGGTGATGATGATGATGATGATGATGATGATGATGATGATGATGATGATGATGATGATGATGATGATGAGGATGATGATGAGGATGATGATGATGATGATGATGAGGATGATGATGATGATGATGATGAGGAGGAGGAGGAGGGAGAGGACGAAGAGGAGGAGCATGCAGGAGGAAACATTTCGATGATGATGGTGATGATGATGATGGAGATGATGATGGAAATGAAGGGAGGATGAAGACATGAACGATGATGCTGTTTGTGGTGGTGGTGGTGTTGGCGGTGGTGGTGGTGGTGGTGGTGGTGGTGGTGGTGGTGGTGGTGGTGGTGGTGGTGGTGGTGGTGATGATGATGATGGAGATGCTGCTGCTGCTGATGATGATGATGAAGATGCTGATGTTGGTGGTGGTGGTGATGAGACTGGTTGCAGGTGGAGGAAGGCAGAATGGCGAAGTTGGGTATCAACAAAGGAGACAATCCTTACATGGCAGCATCTGACTTTATCGACAAACACGACCTGAACCCTGTGAGCATAATCCTCCGACCGCCACTACCGCTACTGCCTCCTCCTGCTGGTGCTGGTGCTGGTGCTGGTGCTGGTGCTGGTGCTGGTGCTGGTGCTGGTGCTGAT